AAGTGGTGAGGAACAGGGATGGAAAACTTGAGGAGAACATTGCTGAGGGAACACGATCAGCAGCATGTGCGTGGCAACCTGGACCACTCCATGAGAAATTATTCATAGTTATATCAAATGTAAGTCAGATTGTTGTGGTAGGTGTGTGTGTGTGTGTGTGTGTGTGTGTGCGTGTGTGTGTGAGAGAGAGAGAGAGAGAGAGAGAGAGAGAGAGAGGGGGGGGGGGAGGAGTTAGGTGATTGTAGGGTGCGGAGGGAGAGGTCAATCGGAAAATGAATGTGAACAGTATAAATTCAAGTGAATTGTTGTGCTCTCATGCTGTATGACCTGGAGAGTGGGTGGGATGGGTCCATCTGGATTGCTAGGCTTAGCCAATGGTATGAATTCAAGTGAATTACCACATGGGATGAGTCACAAAACCCCATCTGGATTGCTAGGCCTAGCCAATAGTATTCAAGTGAATTACCAATTGGGCGGGACGGGTCCCAGAAAGCCATCTGGATTTCCGGAGAGGCCAGGGAGTGCCTGGGAGCATGTTTCCAGAACTCCTTTTTTTAGCTTGGGGCAGGGGTAGAGGGGGTTATTTAAAGTGGCTTTAGAGGTGTACTTTTTCCAAACGGATGTAGGGCTACGTCTTGTTAAGTGGGTTTTTAAGTGGTCAGAGGGGCATACACGTTCAAAAGGTTTTAGTATCTTTCAACAAAATGTACTTTTTCGTTGGAGTTTTGCTCTTTTGTTTTCGTATATTCGTCTATGTGACAAACTGATGCCACCCATGTGTTATGATTCTGGTTGTTTGTTGTCTGAGACCAACACTCTCACACATAGACTTCCAGGTATGCCCACACATACACAGAAGGAAGGGGAGAGGATAGGAGTATCACACCGCACAGGGAGAGATAAACACAGTGGAAGACTTGACCATGCGATATGACAGGGTACACTGACAATGCAATTCACTCCACTCAATTCTCACAACCAGTCATAAGGAAAAGCCGAGTAGATCACATCCAGGAAACAATGAAACGATGATAGTCCAAACCCAGTATTACACTGTTTATTAAACTGAGTCTCAAATTGTTGGAACATTACACTGTTTATTAAACTGAGTCTCAAATTGTTGGAACAACTTCAGACCCACGTGCGCTGCTCAGGAATGAGCAGTGCTTCACTCCCCAACCCTGAGTAACCACCCGTAACAACCCTGAGCCCCTGAAACATCAAGCGCCACCCAGATACAGCCTCCAAAAGGAAGCGCCACCCTGAAACAGGCCTCTGTGGCCAAGCGCCACTCAAAGGATGAAGAAGAAGACCAGCACCACAGTATCTGATGATGACGAAGTGTCGGAAGACTTCCCGGAAGGAAGTCTGCAGCAGTGCCACCCAATCCTGACAAGATGACCTCTGAGGAAGAAGCTGCAGCTGTGGCTGCAGCGCCACCACCCTGGAACCCCACTCCGAAGGAGGGTCCATCAGGGCACCAACTTCCCTCGCCTCCAGCAGACCTCGATAACCCAGACCTCTAACAGCCCCTACGTGCTGGCAAAGTACAGTGCAGGTCCCAGCTATGGCCTGCGCTGGCTATGCCTGTCTCCTTCCACGCTGAGCAGTCAGCACTTCCGGTACACGCGTAGCGCAGCAGCGATGTACTCTGTACCAACTGCCAATATAGACTAACTAGCCTAGACTCGACCTAGACCGGACTGACTGACTGACCGGTACCGACTCAGTTTCGGCCTCTCGGCCTCTACCTTACCTGGCTATAGGCTATAGGACCGTCTATCAGCATAGGCCTGTAGGGCCTGTCTGTCCTAGGGGTAGCCCGGGCCTGCTATTCGCAGTTAGGTTAGCTGTAGGAAATTCAGTTAGTACGGGCCTGTATTTTCCGTATTTACAGAGATGTCCCTCTCGAAGTTTCCTTACAGGCAGGTCACTCGGTTAACCCTCAACCAAACAAAATTACGAATTTGTCCTACCTATAGTACAGCCTTGACAGAGAGAGGCTACAGGCGACCAGAAAACTGCAAGTCGTTGCAGACCTACCCTCCCCCAGAGAGAGGACCTCCGAGCTAGGGGTGTAGGCGTGCAGAGCGTCGAAGGGATTCTCCCTTTTGTGCTGCCTCATATCTGAGAATGACAAACTTTGCAGTCTTTAGAAGTTCCCTGCGAGTAAACCAGCGGTCTTCTGTATGTGGCTGGTATAGGAATTTCACAAGGTACTCCTTATCTGGTCCTGTACCTGACTCATCCTCAACGGACTCCACCTCATATCCCTTGCCTGGGATAGGGAGACCGAATTGAGGGGGCCTATCTGGAAAGGCACAATGGCAACAACTTAGATGCATGGAAGACAGGGTAGGTTTGTAGATGCAGAGGGACATCCACGGTATAGGATGGTCCAAATGGATCAGCTCCCACTGTATCTAAGACCTGCCATGGGCCATGTATCGTGGCAGCAGCTTAGGCGAAATATCCTCCTCTTGCGACAGCTCAAAACTGAGTACCCACACCCAGTCACCTATGCGAATAGTAGAAGGACGTCAGTCACCTGTGCGAATAGTAGAAGGACGTTTGTGCCTGTTAGCCTGCAGAATCATAGTCTTTTGAGCTTTCAACAGGTTTGCACGAGCGCGCTCTATGTCCACACGGTAATGCTTGGTGAACTATGCAGTTCCAGGTGTCAGCGTAGGG